CATTTAGAGGCCACGAAACTGAAAACCAAGTGCGTTCTTTCACCCTGCTTGCACAATCCTCCTTCTCTGATGGGAATGGAAGTTTCCCTCCTAGTTTTCACTTCCTCCATGGTGCTATCATCATTGTTTTAAATTAGATTGCAAATTATATTTTGTAGTCAGTGTGTCAGATTGCCGTACTTTTTACAAAGGTGCCAAAAGTGTCTCACTCACGCAGATTACACAAAACCTGGTGAAAGGGAACAAGACCTGGTTTATACAGACTCTGCTCTCCCCAACTGCTTTGCAGGATCCTCTATTGGCTCAAAGTAATACAAGCAAGCAGGTGGCGCTGTGGTCTCAACCACTGAGCCTCTTGGGCTTGCTGATCAGAATGTTGGTGGTTGAAAATCCCGCGATGGGGTAAGCTCCCGTTGCTCTGTCCCAGCTCCTGCCAACTTAGCAGTTCGAAAGCATGCCAGTGCAAGTAAATAAATAGGTACCACTGCAGCGGGAAGGTAAATGGTGTTTCCGTGCACGCTGACTTCCGTCATGGTGTCCTGTTGCGCCAGAAGCGGTTTAGTCATGCTGACCACATGACCCGGAAAGCTGTCTGTGGACAAACACTGGCTCCCTTGGCCTGAAAGCGAGATGAGCGCTGCAATCCCATAGTCACCTTTGACTGGACTTAACTGTCCAAGTCCTTTAGCCAGTATGGCGTAGTGGTTAAGAGCGGTGGACTCACAATCTGGTGAACCGGGTTCGCGTCCCCGCTCCTCCACATGCAGCTGCTGGGTGACCTTGGGCTAGTCACACTTCTCTGAAGTCTCTCAGCCTCACTCACCTCACAGAGTGTTTGTTGTGGGGGAGGAAGGGAAAAGGAGATTGTTAGCCGCTTTGAGACTCCTTAGGGTAGTGATAAAGGGGGATATCAAATCCAAACTCTTCTTCTTTTTTTACCTTTTACAAGCAAGCTTAAAGCAGCATTGCTTGTGCATGTTGAAGAGCACTAACATTCCATTTTAGCTCCATGCACCTCTACGGTTTCTAAAGGAATGTTAGTTCTTTACATTATAACTTAGGACTCAGAGCCGATTTGGCAAGGTGAGCTTCTGCTGGAATGCTGCCGGGTTTGGTAAATAGGATCTAGACCCGCCTACCTCCGGCTTGCAGTTACAACTGAAAGGGGAGAGATTTAAGGGGTTTGTTATCTGATGGTTGCATTGTAGCTGGAGAACAGGGCAGCCGGGAGGAATTTATCGGTTTTCTCCTGCCTCCAGCAGAGGCAGGACAATTCCAGCAGAACATGCCACCCAGCCAGCCAGATCAAAGGTAAAATGAAAGATGTACAAGCTTTTCCGACCACAGGACTGAAGTAAGGGGAGATGGGTAGGAGAAGGAGACACACAGATTATTTGGCCCTTTGGAAGTCTGGATGAACAGGAGTTCTGTTTAATAGACCAGCCATGGATCGTTGCAAGTCCATTACTAATTACATGCAAATAAAGCTGTTTAAGGGGACGCGGGTGGCGCTGTGGGTAAAAGCCTCAGTGCCTAGGGCTTGCCAATCGGAAGGTCGGCGGTTCTAATCCCCGCGGCGGGGTTCGCTCCCGTTGCTCGGTCCCAGTGCCTGCCAACCTAGCAGTTCGAAAGCACCCCCGGTTGCAAGTAGATAAATAGAGACCGCTTACTGGCGGGAAGGTAAACGGCGTTTCCGTGTGCGGCTCTGGCTCGCCAGAGCAGTGATGTCACGCTAGCCACGTGACCCGGAAGTGTCTCCGGACAGCACTGGCCCCCGGCCTCTTGAGTGAGATGGGCGCACAACCCTAAAGTCTGTCAAGACTGGCCCGTAAGGGCAGGGGTACCTTTACCTTTTTAAAGCTGTTTAAAATACAAAACGAGACTGATAAAATGCTTGCAGAATAATAGCTAATCACTACAGGTGTGGTGATTTCAGTCTTGTAGGCTCTAGTTATTTTCTAGTATCCCATGATCTACCAATGTGATTTGAATTTACCAAAAACAAAACAAAACAAAACCCACAGGATCTCTAAATTGTTTTAAGGCGTGACTCACATATATTAAGCGATCCTGGGTCTCCCCTCGTACATAAGAAGATAATAAGAAAGGTCTTGCTTAGCAAATTGTTAGTAAAAATGCCAGCAATCTTTGATCATTGACTGAGAATTGGCCAAGGATCTGTCTTTCAACCAACCCTGACCAACCCAATCTATCAGTAAGCTTCCACCTTACTGATAGTTTTATTACTTCTCAGTTTTATTTTTATGAAGGATGTGTGATATGATTATTTATTATATGGTATGATGATGATGATTGCAGTATATCTCCCTGGAATCCATCAGCATGAAAAACGGCTTAGAATTGTTACACAAATAAACATGATAGGGCACTATCAATTAAGATAATCAAGAAAACTTAATGAGAGAGCTTACTGTACTCTTATAAAAACTACCTCCAGATCTTAGCATGTCTGTTGTCCTTGCAATTAATAAGAAGCTATTGTGCTTGTCTGAAGATGTTGTGGCACCCAAACCCCTTAGGTTCCAGCTACACAAAGCTGACTTTATCTTGTCAAAGATACTGAGAAGATGTGTTTGATCTTGGCAAGAGCTAGGTGTACCATGAACCATGTTATTATGGAAGGGGAGAAAGTCTAAGGGGGAAAAATTCTTAAGAGAGTCCTTTAGACTGGAAACAAATAAAAGGACAGTCCCTCTTCCCATGTTGTATATGGAAAAATATGAAGCGAGCATCCAAATACAAAGATACAGACTCTTATGATATAAAATGCAAGCAGAAATTATGGCAGACAGGCCATTCATAAGCTCCTGAATGACTTGTCAGACTTACAGCCTGAATGAAGGGTGCTTAAGCCTGACTGAGCACAGGGGATTTATTTCCTAATATGTGTCTTTAGGATTCCAGGCATTTTGCTACATAAAAATCACATATTGATAATGCTGTAAATGGATGAAAGCTTTCAGCACAGAGGGGGAGGCGCAACCCACTAATAAAACATATTCTAATCACATTAAGTCGCATTGATTTCATTTTAATATGCAGTGCAATTCTGCCCATGCTCACGAGATGTTCCACTATGTTCATTGGGGCCTTATCCCAGAAACATGTGAGGCTAACCTTGTCTTACTTGAAATGCCTACTGATTTCAGCCTTAGTATAATAAAACCCACATCTTTTACAATGATAGGCTGAAAATGATTAATGGTTTTGCAGCACTATGATATGACCATGTGATACTGGAAAACCCAAAGCCAATAAAATAATCTCGTACTACAACGTGGCTTCCTACGATTGCTCAGGTCATGGCAGAACAAACTCTTAGGTGAATCTGCTGTTGAAATCATTGCCTGGAAAGAGGGGGGCCACAGGTATTGTCTCTACAACTTGCCAGAGTAGGGAAAAACATATGCAAGAAGTCCAGATGCATAAATTGAGTGTATCTTCCATCAGATTTTTAATCTATTAGGTATTGGGGGGGAGAGGTCACGCCATTAAAAAATGGGTTTTTAAGCAAAAATACTTTTCGGAGGAGAAGCAGTAGCTGTTTTTGCAGCAGTGCTTTGTGAAACACAATTTAGAAAACCCCAAAGGACACACTGTCCTTTTTGCACGGGACACAGGAATCAAGGCATCTCATTCTGCAGGCCATTTTTCAAACACATGACGTTGCTCTTGGGGTGAGCGGGCTCCTTTCCAAGGACCCGGCCTCACACCAGAAGGTCACGGAGACGCACGCAGAACTTCTTGTTAAGAAATTCGCCAGGCATACACTCCACAAAATGGGCTCAATCCAAAGCCTCTTTGGTTCACAAGACAGACAGTCCCAAAGTCATATTGAGGAGGTGAAACAATTGCACGCAGAAGCTTTCACAAGCGGACACTTAACCAGAATCCAATCAGCCTTAGTCAACAGCACCCTGTCCAAATTGAGACGAATGCATGACTTTTGTAATGTTTTCATCACAAGTGAAAAGTGCAATGGGTTGAAATCACACAATGATGGTAGATTGGGCTGCTGCTACCACCTCTGTGTTAACTTGTATGGAAAATATGAGTGTGTGGGGGGAATTACAAACGCACAGGAACATTTCCTTCTCCATTTATAATTAGACAGCATTTTCATTTTGCCCATAAAGCTCTCCCAGGAAAGGGGGGGGAGTAGAAGAAACAGCATGTTTCTGCTCTTATCTTGTTTTCCTCTCCCACAGTGTAAGCTGAATTCGGTTTTTAAGTTTCTGCTTAAACCGCGCATGATCTTTCCACCCTTGCATTCTGGCACCTGTATCCCACACTAGCATACCAAGGGAAAAGAAGGTTGCAAAAACTCGGGAAATCACAGGACTCATAACAGCAGAACGACTTGCTACATATTTGTTGCAACAGACCAAATAGTTTTCTTTTCCCCTTGAAATCAAGTAAGCTCAATGCCGGTCTCCTTCTCTTTAAAACAAAAAAAGGGCACTTGCTGTGCAACTGTCCAAGATAACTTTAAAGAAAGGGGGGGGGAGCAGGAAAGCTCACTCTGCTATGAGATCCAAAACATTCCTAGAGCCAACATTTCTGTACAGAAACACGACTTAGATGACCTCAATTAACAGATGGGGTAGAATTAAGGGCATGTTTTGAGATAAAATAATGCTCATTATCGAGATTTTATCATTGCCTTGCCTTCCTCCTGTTAGGATTTTAATTCAGGAAACTGGAAATAAATGATACAATTCATCTACATAAGGATAGCCCAGTTCCTACCCTGGTCACACTGGAGTCCTTGGGATTTTATAGGACCATCCTATAAATATTTACTTGGTAATAAGCTTGCATAATATGGAAATATTACAGTCTAATACTGTGCAGGATTGCAGCCAAAGTCACTTCTAACCAAATGGAACAGTCAGAGCAAGCCCGCTGGTAATAAAAAATAAAAAATCCACCCCCCCCTTTAAAATCACAGTGCAGTACTAATAACCACATTTACTCACATGCAGTCCTGTTGAATTCAATGGGGCATAGTCGCAGCCAAGCTGGGTTTAGGATCTCAGATAAGCTTCAAGGCTATTTTGTTCTATGAAACACGCTGCTAAGTCTTTTGTTAACCCTGAGAAAGGATATTCATTATCTTGTTAACATGCCAAGCATTACTTTATTTTCAGTGTTGATTTGATATCGGGGTTTAGTACTTATCTAAAGGGATTTGTTTGTTTGTTTGTTTGTTTGGGCTGCCATACGTCCGGATTTTCCCGGACATTACCAAGATTTCAAAGGTGCAATTGACGTCTGGGGGGAATTTGCGGTGCTTTGTCCTGGATCTCAGGCAAGCCAATCAGAAAATTGCGAGTTTTCCTTAAAAAAAAAAATCTCAACAATTTGGGGGGTGTTTTTCTTCTTATAATACAATGCTATAGATACATTGTCATTCAGATCTAATTTAGGGTTGCTACTCATCCGGACTTTGGGCATTTTTGTTAAAAAAAATAAATCTCAGCAACTTTGGTGTTTGTCTAAAAGAAGCTCGACAATTTTGGTGGTTTCCAAAAAAATAAAAACCTCAACCATTTTGGGGGTGTCCTGGTTTTTACTTTTTGAGCTACAGCAACCCTTTATTCCTGAGGAGGGCACAAAGGTGGGTTTATTCACTTAGGAATTCTTAAAGTTTGAGGCGAGCAGGTCAGCCAATTCTGCTCTTAAAACAAAAGAAAGAACACGACCTTCTCTCTCTCTCTCTCACACACACACACACACACACACACAAAGAAAGGAAAAAGAAAAAGCAGTTTACCATCCCAATAACATAGCTTAAGAAGCAGACTAACGGAACATGCAGAGCTTGCAAGTATGGCATCGAAAATAAGAAATCAAGTTGACAAGCTGACGAGGAGGGAATACCTTGTAGAAATTTGATCTCGGATACAAATTCCAGGTAGACGATACCTTGTGACCAGCAGCTGATAATATTAAACTTGCGGGAACATGAGAAATAAGGGGAAGGAATTAAGGTATATGCAGCTAAGCAAGATGTCCAAAGAGCCGTCAGGGAAGTCTCAAAGAACAGCTGCAGAAGAATGCAAAAGAATGCAAAACTGGAAACTTAAAAATAAAAGAATGGAAAGCGTAGTTTGAGGAGAAGACAGGAGCCTCAAAGCCCACACAACGGCACCAAGAAGTCTGCCTACCTGCATGGAAAGTCACCTTAGCAGCCTTTGCAGGAATCCGGAAAATCTGGACCGCGAGTTAATGCATCTTTTTGCATTTGCAGGTGTGTTGGCCTGTTCAGACGAGAGTGTTGAGATACCACTCGCCTCGTCCTTTGGCAATTTTCTGGAGACTGGAAAGGCGAAAAAGTTGTAATGAGCCAACCCAAAAAGGGGAAAAAATACCCTCCCTTCTCATGGGCCTGAAAGACGCATTCCAGAAAGGCGAAAAGGAGCGCTAATCGGTTAGACCAAATTCCTGACTGGGCATAAAGCCTTAAAGTTAAGCTATTCCGCTTCCAGAACTTAAGTCTTCTGCCTCTTTTGCTGAAGCTGTGGGAAATGGCCTTCCCCGCCCCGACAGTTCCCTTTCTTCACAGTAGCGAGGTTGTCTCTTGTCTACTCCCAGCCTTCAAACTCACCAAACCAGATTCCACCCCCCCCCCACAACAACTTCCCATAAATCTGAACTGAAATTTTATCCTGTTCGGCTAGCTGCCCGAAGGCCAGTTTATCGTCCTTGCTGTTTCAGCAAGGTAGATAACCGTGCACTAAGGCTGCTGGGCATCCCTATTTTCCAGAACACGTCCCCAAAAACGGCGTCCTGGACAATTTCCCCGAAATAGGGCAAGTGTCCTGGGAAAGCGGCAATTGTGCCAAAAAGGCCAGAAGAAGAAAAGCTCTGTAACTCGAAAACCTTTGTACTAAAGAAAGCTCCATGACTTTGGGGGTTGTCTAAAAAAACTCTGGAGGTTTCCCTTAATAATAGATAGATAGATGATAGATAGATAGATAGATAGATAGATAGATAGATAGATAGATAGATGATAGATAGATAGATAGATAGATAGATAGATAGATAGATAGATAGATAATAGATAGATGATAGATAGATAGATAGATAGATAGATAGATAGATAGATAGATAGAGATACCCCTGCCAGTCTTGACAGACTCTAGGGTTGTGCGCTCATCTCACTCAAGAGGCCGGGAGCCAGCGCTGTCCGCAGACACTTCCGGGTCACGTGGCCAGCGTGACAAAGCTGTTCTGGCGAGCCAGCGCAGCACACGGAACGCCGTTTACCTTCCCGCTAGTAAGCGGTCCCTATTTATCTACTTGCACCTGGGGGTGCTTTCGAACTGCTAGGTTGGCAGGCGCTGGGACCGAGCGACGGGAGCGCACCCCGCTGCGGGGATTCGAACCGCCGACCTTTCAATCGACAAGTCCTAGGCGCTGAGGCTTTTACCCACAGCGCCACCCGCGTCCCTGATAGATAGATAGATGAATGATATATAGATTAAATAAAACTTGGGCCATAGAATAACACACCAGAATACTAAGGGCATATTCTGAGGATCTTTTCCACATGACCTTGCTTCCATGAGAGGTTTCCCCAACCTGGTGCACTCCAGATATTTTGGACCACAGTTCCCATCATCCCTGACCACTGCATGGGGAATTTGGTGTGTAGCAATTGGTGAAAAATCTTGGTCTATGTATGCCTTAGCTGCTTAAAACACAGTGAGGTCATTGCTCCCCTCGCTGTTTCTCATTGCCTTTTTTTTATTTCCTGTACGCACCAGAGAGGGGGCGAGGATGTCTTTACTAGGACTGCCACATGTCCGGATTTCCTCGGACATTATCGGGATTTCAAAGGTGGAATTGCCATCCGGGGAGGGGGTGGATTTCCAAAAGGCGTTGCTCCTTAAAAAAGCTCGACAACTTTGGGGGTCTCCTAAAAGAAACTCGACAACTTTCGGGGTGTCCTGCTTTTCAAAATATGGCAACCCTGATTGCGACAATTTCATGCCACTTTTCACATTCTGGAAAATCACAAATGCAGGTTCGACCTCAGACCATAGCAAAGGCGTATAGGTTATTCAACGTAAGGGTAAAACTTCACAAGACAGTAAAGAGTTGCTAGCACATAACATCCACCAATTCTGGATTGTTTGTTTGTTTTGCAAAGGAATGATTATCCCAGTATTACTACCACCCAGTGCTTTTTTTCTTAAAAAAATGTTTAGGGGTACTCTCATTTTGACTCAAGAAAATCGCCATTTTATAGTTCAAATCGGGGAAAATAAATACAGTAAATGGACAAAAGTACAAAGATTCACCAAATGTTTAGGGGTATGCGTAACCCTGCATACCCCCCAGGAAAAAACCAATGCTGCTACCACCCCTTTGTTCTAGATGGAGATTCTACTCCTCTAGCAGGCAGTGAAAGGGTTAGCAAATGATTTGTAGAATCTCAGTCAGGAAGATCTTTGTTACTGTATAGTCATCTGAAAGCTCACCCACCTACCCCAAAGAAGAATACAGTGGTACCTCGGATTACATATGCTTCAGGTTAAATACACTTCAGGTTACAGACTCTGCTAACCCAGAAATATTACCTCAGGTTAAGAACTTTGCATCAGGATGAGAACAGAAATCGTGCTCCAGCGGTGCGGCAGCAGCGGGAGGCCCCATTAGTTAAAGTGGTGCTTCAGGTTAAGAACAGTTTCAGGTTAAGAACGGACCTCCAGAATGAATTACCACTGCATTGGGAACTGCATTTGATCCCTGGCCAGAGCTATAACTCCCAGCACCCCTGAACTATGGTTCCCAGTGTGTGTGTGTGTGTGTGTGTGTGTGTGTACATATATATATATATATTGAGGGGTGCGATGAATGTGCTTTAAATGTCTGCCCTCAGGATGTGTGAAGCAGGTAGAGAAGTTAAATAGTCTAGTCCATGTAGAAAAATGTCCGGGAAAATCCAGACGTAATGGCATTTATTTATTTTTCTTGCGATTTTGCCAAAGCAAGCTCAACAACTTCTCCATCTAGATTTTCACTGTTTTAAATATGGCCACAGATAGTTCAGTGGGAACTGCTGCCAGCCTAGGAGCCAAGCTCCCCTATAAAAATTTTAAGGCGAGTTGAATATTTTATTTTATTCAATCCTGGTTTCCAGGGTTGTTGACAAGCTCACTTTATGCATGGGTGGCACTGTGGTCTAAACCACTGAGCCTCTTGGGTTTGCTGATCAGAAGGCTGATGGTTCAAATCCCCGCAACAGGGTGAGCTCCCGTTGCTCTTTCCCACCTCCTGCCAACCTAGCAGTTTGAAAGCAGACCAGTGCAAGTAGATAAATAGGTACCGCTGCGCGGGAAGGTAAATGGCATTTCCATGCACCCTGGCTTCTGTCACAGTGTTCCGTTGCGCCAGAAGTGGTTTAGTCATGCTGGCCACATGACCCGGAAAGCTGTCTGTGGACAAACGCCGGCTCCCTCAGCCTGAAAGCGAGATGAGCGCTGCAACCCCATAGTCACCTTTGACTGGACTTAACCGTCCAGAGGTCCTTTACCTTTACCTTTTTACCTATGCAATCTGGAGTACCCACCCTTAGAATGTCATGAATTCCATCACAGGAGGCGGGGAATGATTCTGTTGTACTCACCTGGTGTTATAGCACACCTGAAGTCGTTGGTGCCATTGGAGGTTGGGGCAGAGATTGTGAAAATTTGATTGTTTCTGTCCACTTTCAACGGTTTATCTGGCTAAATAAAAATAAAAATGCACCCCACCCCTAAGTCTAAAGCTACTTCCAGGTTTTTGGAAAAGAAACAAAAAGGGAAACTAGTTGAGAAACAATAAGTAAGTCCTTCTGATCTCCCTTGACAGTTGCTTGGAGCCCTCCAAACAAAACACCGAGGGTTATAGAAATCCAGGTATACTCCATCCATCTGACATTACTCACACCCCGCTGTTTCGAGGCAAATCTGAACTGATGAGTTTGTGCAAAGCACAAAATCTCATCGCACCCCGTGCATCTTGTTCAACAGAATCCGTGACTCAAAACCAACGCTGCTGCAGAAGAGGAAGCAGCCACCATCAGAAATATTTCTGAAAGCAGTAATTCCTGCTTGCATTATTACGCAACGGAGGCCGGGACCGGGGGGAGGGAGAAATGCTATGGCTTCATTTTTTTGAATGACTGGTTCCGGTTCTTTTTTCTAAAAGAATGTTTAGGGGTAAAGTACTCTCATTTTGACTCAAGAGAATCACCATTTTATAGTTCAAATCGGGGGAAATAAATACAGTAAATGGACAAAAGTACAAAGATTCACAAAATGTTTAGGGGTGTGCATACCCCTGCGTACCCTCAGAAAAAAAGCATTGGCTGGTTCCATCAGTGGAGCTCAACAGGGTGACTTTTCAGTGTCTTCTAGGGTTGCCATATTCCCCAAAGGGAAAATCCAAACAAAATTGTTATGTCCCCCCCAAAAAAATTCACCCTACTTGCCATACGTCTGAGGTTTTTTGCTGGCTGATTCCAGGACATGTCTAGGAGACCCAGATGCATAGCATGCAAGTTTGGCTGTGCCTATGGGAATCTCAGACTCTCTGCCTGCCCGCTTTGAGCAGCAAGCTGCTTTTGAAAGTCCCCTAAATTTCAGGAGAACTTTGCCATGTGATCTGGTAAAGGAAAGAGGAAACAGGCTCAAAGCAGCCTTAGGAGGAGGCAGCTCATTCAGTTGGAGCCTTAGTCTCCCCCCACTCTGCCTGCTTCCCCCATCTGAAATTGTAAGAATATCATCATCATCCATAATGATGTTGCTATTATTATTATTGTTATTGTTATTGTTATACTCCGCAGTTAGCTGTGCAGATTCCTTATGAATATAGAGGAATCATAGAATTGTAGAGTTGGAAAGAATCGTAAGGATCATCTATTCCAACCCCCTGCAAAGCAGGAATCTTTTGCCCAAGATGAGTCTCGAACTCACAACCCTGAGAATAACAGTCTTGTGCTCTGCTGAGTGAGCTATCCCAAGTGGCATAGGATTGTACTGTATGGTGCCTTGTAGCGTTCAAGGACTTTCACATATATTGCTATAGTAATCCCTACAACAAATTCATGAGATTGTATTTACCTGGGAATAATCCGCAGTGAATTTTTGAGTGAGCAGAGATTACATAAAATTGCTTTATCGTTTGTATGAGGCATGGGGCCTGTGTGCTATGCTCAAAATTTCTATAGTTTTCTATAGCACCTGGTTGGGTGCCTAGCCGTGGGCGTGGGCGCCAGCCAGGTGAGTGGAAGGCAGGGGGCAAACGCCCCCTGCTTGAGGCAGAGTCTGGCTCCCGGCCACAACCACTCCCCTCTCTTGCAGGGAGGAGAGTCTTTTGCATACACATATGCCTGGATAATTGTCATGGCTCCCCCCCCCAAGAATCCTGGGAACTGTAGTTTGTGTGAGGGGTTCAAGAGATCTTCAGACTCTTGTCCAGAGCTACGGCTCCTTGAGGAGAAGGCATAGCTGTTGAACCAGTTTAAGTCTGTAATGCAGATAAGCCCCTGGTAGTTTGCAGATTACAACATTTCTCT